CTTTTCGTTTCTCGTTCTTATCGACGGCCTCTTCTTGCTTGGGATTATGCGGGGCTTCGAGCTGTTCAGGGCCGGCGAAGGGAGATATTGAATATGAAGTGGGCTGGCTTGAAGTGTACGGGTCTCTTGTGGATCTTCCTGCTTGGGCTGCCTTGAAAGCCTTCGGGCCCGCTTGGGCTCGTCTTCGAAGTTGTGGGGCCGTCTCGAGCCTCGGCGCCATGTGAAGATCCCCCGAAGCCATCCGAAAGAGACGAGCGTGAGATTGATTGAGTATGGAGAAACCTGAATGGTTTTTGCGTTTATGGCTCTCTGGGGTCATTTGGGAGGGCCTTTGGGAGCTCCACTAGGACATCTTGTGGCCCCTGAGGGCCGCCTTGGAACCAGCTCGGAACACTCTTCAGGCCGAAAGAGTGACCCAAAGACCCCAAAGCGGATCCCGGAGCCAAGGGGGGCCAATTGGGTTGCGACGGGGGGAGTTTGGGCCACCCCAAGTCTCCTCCCCCATGGGCGGTCCCGTCGTCTTCGTCCGTCGTCCGACGTCCGTCGTCCGTCCGCCCGCCATGTTGTTTCTCTATGATAGCTCTGCCGCGGGGGTGTTCTCTCGCTTGCTCTCTCAGCAGAAGGTGCCAGGGATGCAGCGGCCAGCACTGTGCATGAGCTGCTGCCTTAGGCTGCAGTTCGCTGGACACTGCTACGTGAAAGGCGCTGCTACCCTGGGCTGCAGTACCACGCAACAAAATACCCCAGCACTATTTATCCCACACGGCACTTGAACGAGAGATGGACATGCTTGGTTCGCGCATGAATTCTCTGTCCTGAGTCCTGAATGAATGAGCATTTTACCCAAACCCAGATTCCTGGATGTATGGGGGCCTTCGGAGACTCCTCGAAACCGTCTTGGGGGCGATCTGGGGCTCTGGAGCAGCCTTGACCGTGGTTTGGGGTCGATCATGGGAATACGCCTGGGTTGTGGGCTAGAGGCCTCATGGATGTATCTTTTGTCTCTTTGAAAGTCTCTCGGAGCACAATTTTGGGCCTCTTGCGGGGGACTTCGGGGTCTCTTGGAGACTAGTTTGGGCACTGTTTTGGGTTTCCTGGGGGCCTCCTGGCCCTTGGGGGGCCTTCTCGGCGGCCTCGTGGACCGTCTTGAAGGCCTTTGTGGCCGTCTAGGAGCAGCCGTGAGCTGACTTCGAGCGCTCGTGGGCCGTCTGGAGGCCATCTCAATGCGCTCTTCAGCCATCTTCCACACAACCTGGGGCGCTTTGTGAGCCTCTTGGGCCAGCTTGGGGGCCTCTGGGGTCCGGGGCCCCCTTGTGGGACGTCTTGGGGTGATCTTGAGGGCCTCTTGGGCCGTATTGGAGGCCTCTTGGGATGTCCTGGGGCGATCTTGGGGTTCTCTGACGCCGTCGTGGACGCGATTCATACCAAAAAGGAAAGATGCTAAGAAAAACGCTTCCCCTGAGATTTGGGGCGATGTTTGTATCTTTCGGCCCTTATATGTGTCCTCTTGGAGCCCTCTTGGAGCCCTCTTGGGGGGTTTGGGGGGCCTCTCGGGCCGTCTAGAAGCCATCTTGGGCGTCTTGGCGCGCTATCGGACCGTCTCGGAAGCCTCCTGGACTCCTGGACCGTCTGGGGAGCGCCTTCGGGCCCTCCGAAAGCGGGGGGGGCCCTTCGAGCCCCAGAAGGCCTCTCCAGGCGGCCCCAGAAGGCCTCTCCAGCCGGCTCCAAAGGCCTCTCCAGGGAGGTCCGGGGGTTTGTTCGGTAGAAGTCCGGAGGTTTGTTCGGTTCCTGTTCGGGGGTTTGTTCGGTTCCTGTTCGATGGTTTGTTTGGTAGAAATTCGGAAGTTGATTCTGGAGTTCGTGGGTTGCTATAATTTCCTCAGAAGCTCTCCGCCGCCTCTGGCGGTGTGCGTTGCGAGCAGGGACGCAGCAAAGCCACAGGAACGCGCGCGCAGGAACACAGCAAAGCCGCAGGACAGCGCGGCATGGACAGTGTAGCTCCGCACACGTGGCACACGCTAGCGAGCAAGAACACAGCGTAGCTCCGCCAGAGGCGGCGGAGAGCTTGAGAGATCCACCTGCCAAAAGAGCTTGAGAGGTCCACCTGCCAGAAGAGGAGACCACGTCCGACTCCGAGGGCCGGAGCTCCGGGGTACAGAGCGCGGCGATCGGAGGTGAGAAGCGAGGGACCAGGAAGGGATCCAGAGACAAGGGATCCAGGGACCAGGGCGGAGGCTGCAAGCGCAAAAGGGGGGGACAGGGGCACGGGCCAGGCAGGGGCAGAACGGGAAGGGCAAAGGCAAGAAGGGGAGGCCACGGGAAGATGGGGAAGGGCAAGGGCAAGAAGGGGAAGACGGGGCAGGGGCAAGGGCAAGAATGGGCAAGGCAGGGGCAAGAAGGGGGAAGGACAAGGGCAAGAAGTGGAAGACGGGGCAAGGGCAAGAAGGGGGATCACTCCCCTTTATTCTTATCTAACCCATCCGCTCAGAGAGACCAGCGAAGAACATTTGATTCCTGCGCACTTGCCGAGTGTCACCGAGAAGCGGCGACGTGATTCGCCCCACACAAACCCACCCCAACAAGCAAACGGCGAGCAGCACGCAAATCTTCAGTGAACCTCTCCGAGCGAAACAGCGACGACGACACGCCAAAACACTTAACGGGACGCATGCCAACCCTGCCACAAGGGTCTTTGGTGAAATTCCCTGAATCTCCTTATGAAGCCACGCACCGTGTGAGGGGCGTGCTAAAACTGGGCTTGGAACGCATGAGAGCCCTGCTATTGAAACTTTCGGTGGAGCTCCCTATGAGGCCACGAACCGTGTAACGTGTGTGTGTGTGTGTGTGCGTGTGTGTGTGTGTGTGTGTGTGTGTGTGTGTTTGTGTGTGGGTGTGCCCACATTTGCCAGGGGACATCTGTGAACCCTGACACTGGGGCCTTCGGTGGCGCCCCCCATGAGGCCACGCGCCCTAAGGAGGCCCGCGAGCAAGCCGCGGTCCGCATCACGCGCCCCAAAGAACGCCGAGGAACCCCGGAAAAAAACGGCGACGAAAGATCCTGCGAAAACAGAATGCGCTCCCCGAGAAAACGGGAAACGGCGACGCCCGACCTCGGGGGGTTACCCACTGGAGTCTCCGCTGAGGAGGGTGATGAAGGGGGAACGGCAAGGGCAAGGGCAAGAATGGGAATGGCAAGGGCAAGAATGGGAAGGGCAAGAAGGGAAGACGGGGAAGGCGATCAATCAGCCAAAGTACAACGTCCGCATGCGGTTGCAAGGCAAGCAACGCCTGAAGGTTCCAGAGCCAGCCGCGCCGAAGCCTCCGAAGGCCAAGGGTGTCGCGAGCGACGCCGACGGCATCGAGGTTGTCTTACCGACCGCGATGGTCATGAGGGAGCCTACTTCCTGGCCGCGAGCGGGCGTGTAATGCCCCCTTGCGCCTCCCCCTTGGAGTGCAAAAACAAGCGCCTCGCTCGGGGCTTTCCCACGATCTGCTCTGAAAGCAAAGGAGTCCCAGCCACAGAACGAACAACCGACTCAGACATCCCCACAATCTGGCCGCGAGCGGGCGAGTGTAAATCCCCCTGGCGGCCCCCCTTGGTGTGCTCAAAGTGCCCGAGCATGAGTGATCTGAGTGAAAGTGAGTATGAGTATGAGTGAACCTGCTTATGTCTGACTATGAATGCTCGCGGGCCTGCGATTGCATCTAAGTTTGAGTGGTCTGTGTGTGAGTGAGTCTGAGTGTGGCTGAGTCTGAATTGAATATAGTTGGAGTGTGCCCTGGGTGCGAGCGATCTGAATGCGAGCATTCTGAGTATGAGGAGGAAGGGGGGGACGGAGGAGGTGTTGCTCTGATATGGGGAAAACACTCTCTTCCTCCTTTTCATCTTCCGAGGTGGGGACAAGCCCGGGCCGTTGATGCTTGGGGCCTGGGGCGTACACACACCGTGCCGCGCCAAGACGTGATGGGCCAGAGGCGGCAGCGCGACAGGCTGAGCAAACGGCACTGACTGCCCGGAACTTCGGCATCGCGATTCCTTCGCAGCGTCGGCCCCCAAAGGTCCGGGACTTCTTCCCCCGGACTGGTTTTTCATCCAGGGCCGCTTTTTGACAGCCCCGAGGGCCCAGCGAGGGCCCCGGGAGGCCGAAAGCGGCGAAGACCTCCCGCCGCAGGCGGCTGAGAAGCGGCGGGGGCGGAGCACCGCTGCGCCCGATATGCGCGGCGGATGCCTCCCCAGCCGCCGCGCAGCTCGTCCTCCTCCTCGTCCTCGTCCTCGTCCTTATCCGCCTTCTCCTCCTCCTCCTCCTACTCCTCCTCATCCTCCTCCTCCTCCTCCTTCTCCTCCTCCAGCTCGCCCTCCTCTTTCAACTCGCCCTCCTCCTCCTCCTCCTCCTCCTCCTCCTCAACATCATCATCCACGTCCTCCTCCTCCTCCTCCTCCTCCTCCTCCTCCTCCTCCTCGTGTACTTCGTCATCCCAAGAACTCTCCAGCTGTGCTTGCCCAGTTTTCCTGCCTGGCCCCAGGACGTGTCCAGTGGCTTCTGGATGCGAGCCTCGGTGGCCACGGCTCGCCCAGCGCACTCGCGCAACACATGCGCACATGCATTCACGCCTGCAGCTACGGTCAATAACGCTTGGATAGCGTGTCGCGGCGGCGGCCCGGGCGACACAGCATGTCTTGCGAGCGGATAGCGTGTCGCTCCGCTCCGCGGGGAGGGAGGCTCGGCAAAACTCGAGACGTCGACGCCTGGAAACTGGGAGCTGGCAAAATGGATGGCGTGTCGCGCCGCAGCGTGGTGGGCCATGACCAGCGGAGCGGCACGCCACCCCAGAGTTCGCGACCGTACATGCGTGCATGCACACCTGCAGCCAGACCACGCAAGGTGTGTGTGTGTGTGTGTGTGTGCGTAGTCACGCGCTGCAGTGGCAACGATGCTCGGCTCAAGTGCGACGCCGCTAGGGGCGGAGGCGGCGCAGCGGTGGGCGGCAGCGGCGCGGGCCCCCAGCCGACGGCCCCGGAGTGCTCTGCCTGAGGGGCCGCGGGAATCGGGCGGCGCGCACGGGAGGCGCGCGCCCCACGCCCGCCCATAGTGGCGGCTGCTCCTCAGCCCAAGGCGCCCTCGTCCTCCTGCTCCTCCTGCCTTCTTCTTCCTACAGCCCTACAGTGTCCATGCACGCAGCGTCAGCGCAGAGGAGTGGCAGCAAGTAAGATGCGGGATGAAGAAATGCAGCGATGGCCAACACCAACTTTCCAGCCTGGCACTGCTCCTCCTGCTCCTCCTGCTCCTCCTCCTGCCTCTTCCTGCTCTCCTTCCTCCTCCTGCTCCTCCTCCTCCTCCTCCTCCTCCTCCTGCCTCCTCCCTCCTCCTCCCTCATCCTCCTGCTCCCCTGCTCCTCCTCCCTCCCTCCTCCTCCTCCTCCTCCTCCTCCTCCTCCTCCTCCTCCTCCTCCTCCTCCTCCTCTCCCTCCTCCTCCTCTCTCCTCCTCCTCCTCCTCCTCCTCCTCCTCCTCCTCCTCCTCCTCCTCCTCCTGGCTCATGGCTCCTGCCTCAGCCTGGGCTCAGATCGCCTCTCAGGAGGCTGCGAGCCAGAGCCAGGCGGCCCCCGCCGCTGACCCTCTCTTCCGCCCGCCCCTTCGTCGCCCTCCCCACCCCCTCGCGCGATGGACCCGCCCTGGCGCGCTGGGCTCCCCCGCCGTTCGGCGGCCTCCAGGCGCGCACAGGCCGCGCGTGCGCAGGCGCGTGCCGCGCAGGCACTGTTGCGCAACTTCACGGCTCTCAAGCATCGCGGCTGCCAGCCCACGCTTCGTGGAGAGGCGTTGGCGGCCGTGCTGCGCTCCAACTCTCGCGCCGAGGCGAACAGAGATGCCGGCGGTGCTGGTGCAGATGGCGCGCCGCGCGGACCGGACATGCCCACAAATGTGCCGGTGGGATCTGTGAATGTAACTCCCAGAGCTCCCTCGTCCTCAGGTTGCCCCTTTTGGGAGAGGTGCTGCTGCCGTTGCGCGGCGGCGGGCGCTCATCCTGGACACGGTCTTCTGGAACGATGCCGATCCGGGACTGGCCCAGGGTGGTAGACTTCGATGTGGTCTCCGTCGCGAGACTCCTGTGTTCCATCCACGTGCTGATGGAAGCGCTTGGACCATTCCACACGGGGTCCCTCGTGCTGCTCCACGTGGCGCTGCTGGCGCCCGACCTCCTGGGCACTTCTGTGCACTTGAGCCTGTCGCCGCGCAGGGCGACGGCGGTCCTGCGACGGCGGTCCTGGCGAGCATGGCGACGATGGTCCTGCTGGAGCCGATCTTTGTCTGAGAGCCGGCCACGGCGCTGCAGCGCCAGTGGACTTGACGATGGGGCCGCCGCCGGGGCTGGACGCGTGGCCGCTGCGCGAGGCGATCTCTGGCGCGGAGGCGGCAGGGCATGCCGACTGCCAGGTGCTGGCCGACCGCCATGCGGTGGAGCTGGGGACAGCTCGGCGGCGGCTGCAAGAGGCAGCGAGGGCCGCAGGCGTTCCAGCCAGGGAGGCGGCCGCAGGGATCGAGCGCTCTCTCGCCAGCTCCCGGCTGAGCCTGGCAGAGGCCCACCTGGCAAGCAAGGCAAGCGTGTTCCATGATTTCTCTTTGCGTGAGATGTCTGTGCGTACTCAAGGTCCGTTGCGCTTCGCCAGTGGGTTGTTCGACACACGCTCAATTGATGGTGCTCCGTTCGACTTCCAATCTAGTGGAGAGGCCCCCTTTGCACATCACATCGGCTGCCATTGACATTTCGAGTGGGGCGCTGGCTTGTCGCGATCCTTCCAGGAGGAATTTCTTGCGATGTTCAGCTGTGAGTATTTGAACATGTCTGGTGGATTATTTGCACAGCACGTTCTCTGATCGGCCGCATGTCGCCGCGCCGTTTGTTCTCGACGCGCCCAGTTGGACGACACTGACACCAAGGCAAACCCGCGGCAAACCCTGCGTCCCGCGTCCCAAAGAGAAGACGCCGGCACCGCGGCAAACCCACGGCAAACACACCGCGCCCGAGGCTGCGTTTATCTTGGTGGCCGCGGTGCCCTCTGAAAGACAGAAGGCCGCGCGTCGGAACAAACGGCACGCCGACATATGCTCTCGCATTTTTGTATGTCGTTCGTGTTTGCATTGACCCTCGTCTCTTGAGCCCCGAAATCTGCCCGCCCGGCCTGACAACGACGACGACGACGACGATGACGTCGACAACGACGACAGACGACGGACGGGTCGGGTCGGCCAGACCAATCTGCTCCAGGAGTCTTGCAGCCCATATGGGACGCATGCTAAGGAACGATTTGATTTTCGCCGTTCTACCTCGTAGCTTAGTTGTAGCTGATTGGAACAGTGCTGGTGCGCATGAAATGAAAATATACCAGTCTCAGTCTCTGATCATTTCCCCCCACAGTGGGTTTGCGGTCGGCTTGCCCTCCTTGTACACACGGACAGGAAGACCTGTATCTCGATCGTTCATAGCGAGGAAGCTCGCAGCTG